AATCATGGGTTGTGCCACGGCCAGTTCCAGATTTATAGAATATACAACCGGACGTGGTTGTGCAAACGATTAGGTTACTGCTAAGTTTATTGTTTCTGACAAGTGAATTTCATCGTGACGAAAATCAACTCTAATTTTGCATGTTTTATGTTATAAAAATTTTAATCAAAATTATTTTCATTGCAGGATATATTTCATATCGGTATTATTACATACTGTAAAAATTCACGTTAATTTAAGGTCAGGGAGTTTGCAGTGCGTGTCCTCCGGTGAGATTCGGTAACATGTGTTATTTACAATAACAATGTGTCTTGATTGCAACGTCGACACAGAAGAGTTCCTGTGTAGTACAACAGACTATAGACAAACGTACGGACGGGACATGTTGTTGTTGGTGCTTTAGAAAAAGGTTTGGAAACTTTCACCGTAAACTTTCTGTTATAGAAGCAGGCTGTATTATTTCAGTGTAATTTGATGTATACATAGACAAATGTTTGGTCTAATCACCTTTTCTTGTACCTTAAAGTGACATTGTTTCAGGACTTTATTTATTTATTTGTACACTGACTGAACAGAGAGTCTGGAGGATATTTACTACTACGTACTGACTATGTAACTGTACTGAAACTGAAGTTAGTGTAGACGAAATTACAAATTTATTCATCGTTTAGTTAGTGAATTTAATGAAAACGAATTTTAAAAAAAAATGGTAGTAACTAATAATAATTCATTAATCACTACACTACGTAGTCAATAATTTATAATTGATGTCATGTCTTTTGGTCGCAGGTTGAGGTACTTCAAACTTCTTTCTTTCAGTCATGTTTTGAAGTATTCTAAGTTATGTTTCTATATTTTGAACCATTTTTAAGTCTTTGAGGCCCAGGAGATTTAGATTCACTGAATATGACTTCGAAAACAGTATCTCAACACAAAATAAAGTGGCTCTACTTTGAACGGCGCCTTAAAATGGCGGCCGTGATATGATGCCGTTCGAAAGAGAGCTAAATTGGCCACATTCTGGCCATAAAATATCCGAATGCGGCTCGGTTCTATTCTCCGTATAACGAAACAAATGCTCTAACAGGGTATCGGCGATATGTTACTTGCGGACCTGCTTCTGCGAGTGTGCCTCACCGCCGATTGAATCCGCCGCACATAGCGGCGCGGATGCGTACTAAACTAGATGGCGGGGGATACGCTCGGCGATGAGTTTAATCGCGTTTGGCGCATGCCGACAAGTCTGACATCTACCGCTGCTAAATCCTCCCATGGGAAGAACACAGTATTGCTAATCGACTTTTATCGTCTGTAATGTCTCGAAATTGGTCAACTGTCGCTAATATCGTCTGCTAGTATCGTCGTCTGCAGAAACGCTCGAAATTGTCAACGGTCGGTATTTATCGTCTGCTACTACCGTGTGCAATGTTGATATTGATTGTCAAGTAATCCTAGTTTTGCTGTGATTTGTCCCTTGGCAGAAAGTCTGTATTTTAGATACGCCTCAACACCGTTCCGATATTTTTGGATATTTTATGGCCAGAATGTGGCATCATATTACGGCCGCAATTTTAAGGTGCCGTTCAAAGTAGGGCCAATAAAGTTTATATAACATTCAATTTGCCTGTAATTTTGTAGCTGTGTTGCTAAAAAATAAGGAAAATAAACACTAGAACTAACTGATACTTGAAAAAAAAACCTTGACTTTTCACTTCTTCTTCTTCTTCTGCGTTCGATATCAGTCATGCTAAACATTGAGTCCCGTCTGGGTCACAAATAGGATTGTGCATTTTTGTGCAGATTCTTTTATGCCTATCCTGTACAAGTGTGCTCGAAGACCACAGTGTCCAGTCCGAAGTCTAAGAATTGATGTTTGTTCTTTCCTGTTGAGTTTGTTTATGCTGTCACTCTCTGGTCTGTAATCTCCATTCTGCCTTCTCCACTCCCGCTTGAAAGACTGCTTTAGCGCTGTTTTGGTTTCCTTGTAGCTGTGTGGTGGATGAGGTTGTGGAAGATTACTCCCAGCTTTTGCCAACTCATCTGCTCTCTCATTTCCTTGAATACCACAGTGGGCTGGTATCCACTGCAAGACCAGTTCTGCTTCCTTGGAGAGTAAGCCAATGTTGGTCCTTAGATCAGCAATTATTTTGTCTTGTTTTTTGCTGGATAGTGCTTGGAGAACAGATAATGAGTCGCTAAGTATAACAATTTGGTGCCCTCTGTGTTCTTGAGTGATGAGATGTTGGACTGCAGAGAAAAGGGCAGTTGCCTCAGCTCTGAAGTTAGTGCAGATGTCACCTGCTGGTAGAGAGAGAGTTTCTGCTCTACTGCTAGGGGGTTTAATGTAAATTCCACATCCCCCCTTTCTGACTGCATCTGTAGCAGAGCCGTCGGTGAAAACCTGAGTCCAAGTGGTGTTTGGATACTTCTCATCAAGCATAGCAAGAGCCAGGGTTCTCTGTTGTGTCTCCGTCTGGGCATCTTTTGAAGTGATTCCTGGTACCTTTAGGACTACATTTGCTTTCTCTGGCTTGCTTGTCCATGGTTCTGGCCTAAGTTTTTCGCACAGTGCAACATCTCTTTCAAGCAGATCTTGGTGCTGTCTGTACAGTTCTCTAGCAAGGTGGTTGGGGCTCTGACGCTTCAGTCTGTTTTTTGTTCTCTCTTGAAATTTAAAATGCAGTGGGTGACTTTGAAGTCTTTTTAATTTCTCATACTGTAAAAGAGTTTTGTATTGTCTTCTGAGTTCGAGTGGTTCAGTATCTGCTATCTTTTCTATTTCTCTGATGGGGGTGGTTTTCATGGCTCCGAGAACAATCCTTAATCCCATATTCTGAACCTTGTCCAGTTTTCCCATTGTTGTCTTGGCTGCTGCAGCCCATGCAGTGGAGGCATATTCCATGACTGGCCTGACTGCTCCAGTATATACTTGTTTTAGGATTCTAGAGTTAGCGCCCCATGTGGTACCCGCTAATTTTTTCATAACTGCAAGCTTCTTGAATGCTTTTCCCTGTACTGCTTCTAGGTGTGACTTCCAAGTTAGTCCCGAATCAAGTGCAACGCCCAGAAAGGTAGGAGTGTCAGTCTGTGGAATGAGCTGGTTTTTAATCCAAATTTCGATTTTTTCTTTTTTTTTTTGGGGAGAGAGAGAAAAGTGATGCTGTGCTTTTTGATTTATTTAGCTTTAGATCCCACTTTTCGGTCCAGGCTTCTACATTTTCCACAGTTTTTTTTAACAGATATGAGGCTGTCCAAACTGCAAAGTCATCGGCATGTAGGGTATTAAAAACATGCTGGTGGCAGGTTGCTGTGATATCATTAATGTAAACCAGGAACAGAGTTGGTGATATAGCACTGCCCTGGGAAACTCCTTCTCTAAGTTTTGCCAGTTTGCCAATGTGTCCATCAATTCTGAATCTGGCTCTGCGTTGGAAAAGAAAGTCTTTGATTCACTTGTACATGTTATGCACAACTCCTGCCTGTAGCAGTTTTAGTTGTAGGCCTTCTTTCCAAACTGTATCAAAGCACGAGAGAGGTCAAAAAAGACAGCAAGAACTTTCTTTTTTTCCTGGAAGGACTTTTCACTAATATTTATTCTTTTTGTACCAGCTGACTTTGTTATCATTGTACGCTCTGTATGAGATATATATTCACGCTATCCCTCAACAAAGTATTATTCTGTCAATGACTGAAACAAGTCTGCTTCAAAACTTTCTCCATCTAACCTTGGATAAGTCTGAAAAATTTGTATTTTATTTAAATTTGAGGCTTCTAAAGCTTAACCACTTTGGTTTTTATACTTCACCATCCCTATGTGGGCTCCGGGGTCCTGTTTTAGGGGGAAAAGAATCCAGCCACTGCCCCCTAACAAACATGTTGTAAAAAGTGACTAATTAGGGATGTTTTCTTCAAAGTCTGAGTGTATCTGCCTGAAATACAAAGGACCAACAGTCTGCGTTCTTCTTTTTGTGTGTGTTCGGTTTCGTATGCTCAGATCAGACCATCAGGTGGGTTGCCTCTATGAACTCGCATGTCAGCTGCAAGTCCTTCATGGTTCCCTATAGCTTGCTCTGCACAGTTTGCTTTTGAGGCCAGGTGTCTTTTCGAAGTTGTATGTAGAGTGGGCAGGTCTGCAGAATATGCTCAGGTGTTTGTGGTCCTGTTTGACACTGTGGGGACTGTACAATCTTTATTTTATGCATGTGGTAGTTGAGCCTGTAGAGTCCTGTTTGTAGACGGAAAATTGTTGTATGTTGCTTTCTGTTGAATTTGCTGATGGGGTCTTGTGGATATTTACTGTTAGTTTGTTCTGTCCACACTTCCATGTAATTTCCCTTGATATACTGCATACAAATAAGCCAGATCTGTGAAACAGCTGTGCATGCAAAACTCAAGTTCTGTTACAGGACCTAAGTCCAAAAGTTTACAAACAACTATACAGGAGTTTACAGCTGGCAAATGCTAAGAAAAAGAAGAAGAAGAAGAGTTCTTGGACAGAGATAAAGATTACTGTCCACTCCATCTCATAAATTGATTGTCTAGTTTATGCACCAGCTTTTGGGATTGTCTTTTTGCTTTTTTTACCTAAAAAACCTGCAGGCTGTTCCTGGTGTAATTAATAGGATTGCCAAGATTAAAAAAGAAAAAAACCCAGCCAACTACTGCCTATGTTTACCAATTTAGCAGTGTAGGCATGGAAGTCTTTCAGTCTGAGTATTTAGGGATGCATGACTACTGCTGCCACTGTGGACTGTGCTGGTTAGGATTTTATTTTTGCTAGAAAAATTTTTTTTTAGATAGAAAAACCCTCTGACCTTACCAAGGATTTGAACCTGGGTCTCCCACATGAGAGTCCAGCATTCTTAACCATTCAGCCAGCCACTTCTGGATAAATAAGCTTGGTATTCTAAATACAGACTTGACCAGTGCTGTGTTCATTATTTTGTCACCATTCACAGCACTCCGCCCCTTATGGCCTGACCAGATGAAGAGATTTGGGCATGGATGAAGTCACATCTAATGGGCTTAGATATCGTGCAAAAAATCAAAATCGGGACATGGTGCCTCAGACAGACACCCAGGCCTCAGGAGCAGAGGCCTTGGAGTTACAGAATCTGAGAGATGGTGTGCATAAACATTTACATGATGGAGTTGTGCCGTCGGGAGAAAGAAATGGGTACATCAGTCAGGATGATCATGAGACTAATATAGACAATGGGGAAGAGGCTGACGACACTGAACGACTCCTATCAACTTGTGATGAAGATGTGGAAGTGTTAGATGATGAGGTAAGAAGCTATATGCAAAATGTGACTGTTTATGATATAAAGTGTTTGATTGATATCTTTCTTCTTCTCCTCCTCCTTTTTCTTCTTCATTGATTCCTGTTCTTCTTCTTTTCATTTTTCTCCCTCTTCTGTTTTTTTCTATCTTTATCTTTCAACTTGTATTAAAAGTGTTTTCTTCAAAGTCAGAGGGCATCTACCAGAGAGCTGAGGAGCCAGCAGTTTGCATACAAATATGCCAGATCTGTAAAATAGATGTGCATGCAGCACTCAGTTTCTGGAATAAAACCACCAAAGTCAAGAAGTGGATAAACAGCGAGAACTTACAGTTGGAGATTACAGCCGGATAATGTGAAGAAGAAGAAAAAGAAAGTGTGGTTTTATAGAAGAAAAAATATCAGTGACAGCCGCAATGAGGGATGAGCTTATTTCTAAAGAGGCCACCTTCTCTAGTTAAAGTCGAAAGGATCAACTTCAGTGCACCAGGTTTCATCCTGTATGGCTCTGTCTCTCTCTGCAGAATGGCAAGCCATGTGCCGAAAGCCTCACACAAAGCATGAACTTTGTGGCTCCAGTGACAATCCCCAGGAATCTCCCTACAAATTGCACCTGTAAATCAAAAAACGCAGCAGTGAAAGAACCCCATGATCTACAGAGCACGAGGCAAACAGCTTGACCTCTTCACCACTTTGTTGTTATAAAAAAAAAAAGGTAGTCGACATCCTACTGGCTGATTGAGTTGAGCACCATCAGCAGTTGAGCCATTCCCATGAAAACTACATTGCCATCTTCAGCCGCTAGCAAAGAGTTCCATCAATTGTGCTAACTGCAGTCTGACTAAATGCCAGTTTTGTCTTTCCTCTGGGTATTTAGTTCAGCCGGTTAAAATGGACGCTAGACAGCGGCGCTGTTCGAAGCAGAGGCATATTTTTTGCTTCTGCCGGACGATGGCCGAAGTATTTTTGCTCCATTTGTAGACTGGATATAGTTTCGTCGCCCAGCTTCTGAGTTGAATGCATGGCGTGACCCTGTGAGCTGTGGATTGCATTTGGAATGTATTTTCGACTGTGATCAATGTGGTGGTGTGAATTGTAGATTTTAAAAATGTCGTGATGCCTGTCGTGCAATGTTGGCGGTGCCCGTATCTGGTTAAAATTGATCTCGTGGACAACTGCTGAACTGTTGGCGACAAGTTCTGCTATCATCAATGATGAACTGCATTTCTAATGTTGGACTGTTTGTGTTAGCACTTCGGATGGCTACCGTATGCTTTAATGCGAGTGTATGCTAGATATGCTGAGACAGCAGTCTGTCAATCTTTCCACAAGGGACTGTGATAAACATTCTGGGTGTTTTTCGTTGGCACAGGAGCGGAGCAAAGATGGGGCAACCCATTGCTATGAAGCTGAAACTAAGACTACCAGTTCAGCAAGTTTCTTTTTTCCCTAATATTGAAAGTTAACGAGCTGGATAACTTAAAATTAGTGATGAAAAGTTGTGTGTGTGTGTGTATGAGAGAGAGAAGGGGGTGGGGGGAAGAGATAAGAGAGATGAAAAAAGAATAATCTGACAGAGGGATGAAAGAAAAAAAAGAGGTTAAAAAAAAGAGAGTGAGAGAGAAAATGAAAGATTAAAATGTAGAGAGATTTAAAAGAGAGAGTACCGAGAACAAATATTCTGATCAATTTAGTATCTTGACCTGAACACGTGTCTGCACACACATTCATAGACACCACAATATAATTAGAATGGAGAGAAATAATTATCCTTGACACAGAACTTGAACACAATTTCTTTTGTGTGAGTGTGTATGGAAATTCCCAATTTTTTGGTTGCACCATTTTGCCCCAGAAATGAACAGACAAGCTAATCCTCAACATGATATTAAACAAAATGGGGTACATTTCTTACCATCAAACCAAGCCCAACACTTGACCATCCTTTAGCTGTGACATCAGGCTAGATCATGTCTAGTTGTGGGGCCTTGCTGTTCTGCCTGTGTGGAAGTTGCACAGTGTCATTTGGTATCTTGGAAGAACCTGATAGTAATCTGAATGCTACTGCATAGAATTTATACTGTGCAGGTTGTATATGTTATCAATCATTGCCTCCTGTTAGGCAGATTAAAGAGGTATTGGCTCTTCTATAATTTCAATAGTCTGCTTGCTGGTCCCAGCGTTCAACTCATGCTTCAAGCAGTTAATCGTTTTTGCTGATGAACTGTCACGGGATGGTACCTTGTATGCAAGCTTTTATTGTTGCTTCAGTACTGGATTGAGACTGTGGAATAGTTAAGTTGCTAGAAATTGCCACAAATCGGAATGAAATCATTTCTGTCAACTGAGCATAAGATGTAACAAATTCTTTCAAGCACAACAGCTTCTCCTGTTATTGTGAATTAACAACTTCCAATGTCACCAAAGGAAAGAAAGAAGGCTAAAACCAAATATGAACCACAGTCGACTTCAAGTTCCTTCTCCCAGCATGTTTTTGGATCTAAATCTCAGACCAAGTTAAATAGAAAGCCAAATACAAAAAGGTCATCGTCAGGATGGTGGGGTAAACAGGTAATTGATACAGGGACCGACTGCTAAGCTCATACAAAAATGGCTGAACGTGATTTTAAAAATGACTAGGAAGCCAAGTAAAGGGAAATCATCATCATCATTATTCTGTTTTGCCTTTATTTGTCACATAGGGCTATTCCTTCACTCTGTTCTGTCTGGTCCAGCATCTTTGGCCACTTTCGTCAGAATTCATTTCAGTGTTTTTTTTGGAGATCCTTGCTTTCTTGGCCCCGTGTTTCTCATTTTTGTGCCTGTTTATTGATTCTCTGCTCGTTTCTTCTCAGGATGTCTCCAGTATAGAACCATCCTCTTTGTCTTATAACTGTTGTTACCAGTGATTGCTAAAAATGTCTCTTATTTTCTCACTGTTAATCCCATTTGATGTTCATTATTCTCGTTAGGTATTTGTTTTCAAATGCATTAATCTTTTGTTTCATATCCTTTGTGGTTCACCTTTAATGGCATAATCAGGGAAATACACTCAAACCAGAAAACAAGATACTGTTTTGACTAGTCTTTTGAACAAAACAAGAATGCACATTACAAGTTTGTAGTCAGCTAACAAGCAGTTTGGTAATGGAATGTTTTAAATTTATTTTGACAGTGGTAGGAGCATGCCAAAATTAGTAACCATAGAAATGAGATGTCTGAGAAGGGCTGTAGGAGTGACCATATGAGATAAGATCAGGAATGAGATCATAAGAGAAAAAGTCGGCACAGAACCAATTCTAAATTACATACAAAGACAGCAAGTGAAATGGTTTGCCCACTTAGAAAGAATTCCTTGTGACACCATACCATACAAAGCATACATGGAAAGAGAAGAAGGACGTAGAGCAAGAGGTAGACCAAGAACAAGATGGAAGGATAACATCAGAGAAACTCTACAACAGCACAATGTGCCTATGGTCAAGAGCCAGAAACAGAACCTTATATCTCCCTCGACACCCACAGCGGTAAAAGAGGAAGTGAAGAAGAAGAAGAAGGAGCATCCCACAATGCAGAGAGCAATGACAAACCACTAAATGTAAATTTTACCAGTAAAACTGCAAACAGCCATTATTTGGCGTTGGTTTGCAAAGTCCTAAAAGAAAATTATTAGTCATTAGTCACAGTTCCAGTCTCATGGCACACATGGAACACCATAATTGTTCCATTCCTGTGCCAGAAAAAACCCAGTAAAAATTCCTGTCACTGTACTTTGTTGGGTATAAAATTTGATAAAAAGACTGCAGTCCCAACAAAGCTACCAGCATACACATGCATTAAATACATAAGGCAGCTGCCTGGCAGAACTATACAACCAGCTGAAGATGTACTAAATGAGGAAAGAACTATTTTATAATATAATGTTCCGGTTGTTTTGCTGATCGGTAATCACTAGTCAGAGCTTTCACATATTGTCTATATATATCCCATCACTAAGCTTCCCAGTTTTATTAACTCACAAACACAATTCAGTCATTTTTGTAAATGTCTGATTCATGTTTTTGCTGTTTGCTGTAAACCTCTCCGGATACTGGTTCGTCTATTTCTGGATGTTGGTTTTTTTCCAGGACCTAAGTTTTGTGTGCACATCTGTTGTACAGATCTTGTTTATTTGTTTGCAGACTGTTGGTTTCTTGCCTCTCAGGCAGATGCATTCCTGCTTTAAAAGGAAGTCCCAAGTTAGTCGACTCTTGTTAGGGAGGTTTTGGGTCTTCTCTTGTTTTCCCCCCAATGGTGCCCGGAACACACACAGGGGGATGTGGGGGGGGGGGGGGGTTATTAATTATTCTGTGTTTTTATTGTTGCTTGTTTTGTATTTCTTTTATTACAGAAGTATCATATACATTGCTTTCTTAAAATAACAAGCTGATACGCTTGTGGATAAAGCTACTGTGGAAGGCTGACATGCCAGGCTGATATACTGAATGGTCTACATGAAGTTAGACATTTGCGAGGACCAGGTGATGACTGTGAATCTGCAACCTTGACCAGCCTGCAAAAACATCATTTTAAAAGGGATGTGGGCAGACAAGAGCACAATGCAGGAAGCCAGAGAAGAATAAGAAACCAAAACAAATCTGGTGTCGCTACATGCTGCAGGATTTACTGAGGAGGGGATCTGAGCACTTATGGACTGAATGGTTTAGTGTGCAGTGAGAACTATCAATGCTCTTTGAGTTTGACCCATGGTTATGTTGTGGAAATTGCCTGCCAGGTGGCCCTAGGCTTTAATCTCCCTTAGTGTTGGATTCATATTACTCCATTGTCAATCCCTCATAAAATGGGTACCAGAACAGGTGGCCAGGTGGGAGGCTGATCACATGTGCTGTATTTAAAATATTTGGCCATTTTTCTTTTGCATACCCAGACCAAACATGAAATAAATAATAACACACCATGTGTTGTGTTGATACACATAGTCATAAGCTAGGCCCAGATGGCGCATTGTTTGGGACAGAAAGACCTAAGCGCTTATGCAGAAGAAAAAGATAATGCAGCGTGAATAGTATGCATATGTTGGCTGAGTCAAAAATAACAATAAATGATTCAGTTAAAAATGTCCCAAACTTTGATTATCCGTGCTCCATAATAAACAGCAATGGAGACTGTGCAACAGAAGTCAAAAGGGAGGATGGTCATTTCAGTGCAATGATTAAACAGCATTACATGTCAGTGGTTAAGCACCAGCAAGGAAATCAAAAGTAAAAAATTTTATAGCATGCAGCTTCTCTGTAGCAACATACAAATGTAAGTCATGGATAATCTTCCAGTCCTTAAAGAAGAAAATGTGCTTTTGGGCTGAAATGCTATTGAAGAATTTACAGAATACCTTGGAAAAAGAAGAGAAGAAATACTGACATTCTAAAAGATCTGAACATCAAGGAAAATGGCTAATAAACAGCATCTTGTCACGGAAGCTGCAGTATTTTGTTTAAAGCAAGCACCATGGTTAGTTGCGTATCCTTTACAGGACGTTGCAGAACCACCCCCCCCCCCCCCAACAGCCCCTGGCTGTTGTGGGGTTTTTCTAGGCAAATGTACATCCAGTAGTTTGCCATTGCTTTCTGGGCGGTCGGCTTTCTTGATACCACTGTGGAAACCAGCGCAAGGATAGGGATCGCAGCTGGGATGGATCCCGGCATTACGAAGTGTTCGCATCAACTTAGCCACAGAGCCGACCAAGCACCATGGCAGACTGGGAAAAAAAATTGTAGAAGGCATGATACCAGGAAGGAGGAGCAGGGGCTGATCACCAGATACTTGGGCACAAGATATAAGTAACTCCTAAGTCATGACAAGGAAGAGCTGGCGAGAGACTGAGTTTCTTTCAGGCAGTCCATGATGAAATGGACATTCTGCAAAGGGCCCTACTACATTGTTTACTCTGATTTCCTGCAGGGTTCATTTTATGATATCAATGCACTTATCCAGTCCGTGCAAGGGGAAGAGTCCTCCCTCAGTATTATTTCTCAGGTGTCTCTGCCATTTCTAATCGCTGGCTATGGAATGGTCGCAGCTGGGATGGTTCTGGACATTGTTCAGGTGAAGAGGTTTTTATACGTTTTGTTACTGTTTTGCAGCATATTTTATTAAATGTTTTAATTTTTTTTTTTAAATGAGCAGTATATAGTGCCAGAAATTAAAACTTATATTAAATTAAACATTTTTAATTCTAGTGTCAAATCAATATTGTTGTATGGAGCAGAAACATGGAGAACAACTAAGGCAATTACCAATAAGCTACAAACATTCATTAACTGGTGCCTGAGCAGAATAGAGGGAATTAAATGGTATGATAGCATCACTAATGTAGAACTTTGGGAGAGAACTAAACAAGTGCCAAGAGGGAAAGAAAAGACGCTGGCGTTGGATAGGACACACATTGAGACAACCTGAGAACAGTATAACTAGAATGTCTTTGCACTGGAACCCACTGATAATAAAGGAAGACCAAAAAAAAACACATGGAGATGAGAGCTAGAGAGTAAAGTGAAAAAGATGGGTAGGACAGGGGGGAGAGCTGCATGTGATAGCGAAAGGTAGAACAACTTGGCGTAAGTTTGTTGAAGGCCTGTGCTCGATTGAGGGGCAGAAGAAGAAGAGAAATAGTGCCAATCTTGATCAATAAAAGTTAACCATGGATAGTCAACAGATAAGAGAGAATCATGTGGAAACCGCTAGGCTGTGATTTTGTAGAAGATTAATGGCATCATGAAAGAGCCAATACTTATATAGGGGAGTGAATAATGGACATTTGGCAGACTAGGGGAGAATTATGTTTAACTCACTAACTACCACGATTGGGTGATATGTCTTCTTCTTCTTCTTCTTTTTCGTATTCACCGGCTTTAAACTCAGGTGGAAAGTTCTGGTAATTCACCCACTTCTGGACTTAAGTCCTGTTCCAGAAACTGAATGTTGCTTGCATATCCATTTCACAGGTCTGGCTCATTTGCATGCATACTGTTGGTTTCTTGCCTCTCAGGCAGATGTACTCCGACTTTGAAGTAAGCTCCCATTTAGTCGGCTCTTACGGCGTGCTTTTGAGCAGGCAGTGGGTCTATTCTTGTTCCCCCCCCCCCCCCACAGTAGGGCCCCAGATCCAGCACAAGGAGTGCAATATGTGATCGACCAAAAGTTACGCCTAGCTACTTTTGATCGCACCTCCTGCACTCAAGTTGCACACTGCCATGTTCAAATCGTTACGTTTGCAATAAATGTAGTTAAAACCGTTTGTCCAATCATTTTTCTGCTTCTTTAAAGGAAACAGTTTTGTAGTGCTCAAAGTAAATTTTCACGATGTTTTTTGGGTGAGCTCCTATTGTTGTGTGCTAAAGTGGGAAGACCGCACGCAACCAATTATCCTGGATATGAATCACACTCCAAACTGTGTTACCCAACCTTATGCGCAAAATGTGTCAGGAAAACTCGACTATGTGTTGCTGCCATATATGCACATTTTATTTCACAGAGACAATCGGGTGTACACAATTGCGCACAGAGAGTAATGCAAGCGAAGTTATTATACACATCACTGGCTAATCATAAATGTCCCACACTTTGCTCAATCAAACTGGTAAAGCGGCGCTCTCTCTGACAGCCTACACAAGCTGCCACTACACGCTGAGCTGACTGCTACACTGCCTAGGTCTCTAGCTACCCTTACTTCAGGGCTCTCTGTAAGGATGAACAGGTTACATCACCTGCTCAACTTGACCTCTGTTGCTATATGCGTAGCAGACACTGTTACCTCGGCTGACTGGAAACTTCATAATGCTTGATCTCAAATGTGCACACAGCACATCAGCCTGGTCAAAGGAACCAGGATGACCAGCAGAACTCCCAGCTCCGAGTCCTCTTCAGCACACAGCAGTTGCCGACATCTCTGTTGTCTTGTTTCAGTAGTGATCACGTCCACCTACACATGCGTTGTCACCCAATACAGCTTCTTCTTGAAGTCCAGCTCATGGCTCAACTCTGCCAACTGGACTTCTCTACCTTCAACTGCACTCTCGACTGTCCTCTCGACCAGTCTCTCGTGAGTGCTTCCACCTCAATTGCTTTCAACCCAACTGTTCGAGCTCAGTCTCTCAACTGCACTCAACCCCAGTATATATACAAGCCTGCCCCATGTGAACTTTTTCGTGTTACATAGGACACTCCTGTTAGGCTTGATTCCCCTTCACTGAGAAACCCGTACTTTTCCTGCAACTGCTGCTATCCACACACTAAGTATGATGATTCTCCCTGCACTGGTTGACACTTCATGAACTAGCTGGTCCATCCGGCCCTAAGTCGACACTGACTTATAATATTGACTCATACTGACCCGATAACTCTTGGCTTAAGTCAACAAAGCCCCAAATATTGACTCAGGTCACCGGACATTCCAGTGGACACCTGAATCCATGGAATCACATTGTCATCACCAGTGTTGCAACCCACCCCCGAATTAACACGCAACAACTATGTTGAATATGCTTTAGGTGGATGTTTTTATAATGGTGACCAATAGTCAGAGCCGGCCTGGTGGCACAGTTCAGGGAATATTTATGATGCTTTTGGGAGATTTTCTTGATGTTTTTAAATTGGAAAGTGAAGATGAAGACGTTTCTGAACAGTTTGTGCATTATGGACATTCAGCAGACTAGGGGAAAATTATATTAAAACTGCAGACATGTAGCTCTGTAGATGAATACTGAAAAGCTATGGACAGATATATTCTGAGGCCTCGGAGATGTAGAATTACAGAAGAATCCTTAGACTTTAATAGACAGCCAAAAAAGAGCAACCCAGATGTTTTGAAAGAGGCAAGGGTTTGAAGACAACATTATCAGAAAAAAGTCATAATTTTTTAATCATGTTATGAGAAGAAGGAAATTGGAACACGTTGTGACCACTGGAAAGATCTTTGGAAAAAGAGACAAGGAAAACAGTGCGAGATGATTCTTGACAGCCTTTCATCATAGCATGGACGGGTGTCAACACAGGAACTAATACACACTGTTGCAGATTGTGGAAAGGCTTTATTGCCCATGCCAGTCGGCAAGGCACTTGATAATGATGATGGTCAGATAACAGTTGTATGGAAAATGTCTTGAAAAACATAAATTCACAAATATTACTTTTACCCATTTCAAAAGAAGACATTGCACACCGTAAGAATGGGGAAAACTTGAAAATGTCATGACAAAAATAAAGTTGGATGCAAGTAGTGACAGAGGGAGACTAAGTAGTAGGTAATTGGGTAGTTGTACCCCACCAAGACCTCACACAAGCAATAAACACCCAGTGACACAAAGTGCCACCATGCAGATGAGAACCACCCGGGGAGATATCCCAGAAACCCCTTACAGCCGTGAGGCCATATCTATGCCCCGGCTATATTCAAGGCCCTCGGCAGAAGCCAGGGTGGGGCTTTAAATAACAAAAAAATTGCATCCCAAATGGGGGCGACTTTATATTTTGAGACCAAGTGCAAGGATGCTGGGTAGTTGAACATCCTGGCGCGAAAGGACATCTGGGTCAGAAATAACTGGCAGTACAAGGCACAGAAGACTATTATCAATCATTACCACCCCCACCTGTCATGGACTTAACCCTTTTGCTGCACAATGGCTAAAAGAAAAATAGGTGCTTAAAATTAATATCCTACCCCAAACAAGGGAAATCCATAGGTCATGAAACATTCTAATGATTCCAGGGCATGGTAGATAGGTTGTATGTATTCATGGGAACTAGGCTGCATTTTCTCATGGGATGTAGGTGGGTTGGGGTTAGGGCCAGTTCTTGATGTTCTGGGGGTCGTTAAAAGCATCAGAAAGCTGGAAAACCCAGTCTTACCACCCTCTAAAATGTTGGACTGTCCTGTGAAGTCATCTGGGATAGGATATTAATCAAGAACTGAAAAATGAATATCAAACCTGTGGGAATTCCCCTTCTCCCCCCTTCCCCCCCTAATTGGGTTAACAAAGAAACCTCCATAAATGCAATTTTTAATGAATATATTCATATCCAGGCCTCCTAAACACTGCACAGGTGCACATTTAACCAATATAATTTACTACGCTTTTTAGTAACAGGTCACTGCAAGAATTTTGATACATCTGCATTTACGAGACAGTGTCGCAGCCTGAAGTAATTAGATATAGTTCTCTCGGGACAACAGGGTTAAAGAAGAATTTTTATAGATGAATATAAGTACATAGATTATTACGCTGAGTCATAAAATGTTAAGGAGCATGATTTCCCATGCAATGTGCCAAAGCACTTGATAATGATGATGATACACTGTAAATGTAGAAGAGCACTTGAGAAGAATGTATAAATAGAGTCTGTTAACTCTTTTACTCAAAGCAGTTATTACTTTAACTCATTCTATCCCATGGAGTTGAATTGATAGAAATGTGCACTGAGGTCCAAAGAACAGAGAGACTGAGGCAGGATTAGCTAAACTAATAATTTTTTCACCTTATCTTCTCTAAGTTCCAATCAGTGCCTATAAGTTTGTATTACTGTTGTGTGGGTGTGTGTGTGTGTGTGTATGTATATATATATATATATATATGTGTATAGGTAATTTAAAAAGAAATTTACTTGCCTTGGGCTTTTAGATCAATCCCTACTTAAAATGGGTCGACGGAAATGTCCTGGGAAGTAAAAGATGCCATCAAATTACTATCTACTTCACTCATCCAATGCCAATAAGATAAGATATAAAAATACTGAGCTGGCACAAAATTCCCCAGTATTCTTTAAGTTATGAAAATATGCCTGCTTTTACCCCCTTTATCAGGAGTACATTGTGCTGGTGGAAAAGTTGGAGGGGAAAAGAGGTAGAGGAAGACTGAGAGAGAAGATGCTGGGCAGTTTGACATCATGACATGGAAGATCATATGTGTTAGAAGTGATTAAAAGTGCATGGCACACAAAGTTGTGGATATACATTACTACCAATGCCAGAGTGGCATGGGCTTTAAGAAGTGCCAGTCATTAGTTTAGTGCCCATAATTTTATCTTACTGTTTTGTATATTTCAGCACTGGGATGTGTTTACTAACGTCAAGGAAATATTTATTTTGGTACCCGCCCTCCTGGGTCTGAAAGGCAATCTGGAGATGACGCTAGCTTCTAGACTTTCTACACAGGTATTCATGGTTGATCACTCAGGTGGTCATCTTTTAAAGCTTTCAATTGTTCTTTCATTGGGTGTTTAAAAAAAAAAAATTCCAAAATAACTTTCTAAATAGTGTTTAACTGAGATGTACGTACATACATAAAATATGGCAGAATGGGAACCATTGTGGGATGCAGAGATGCTAAAAGTACACATGGCGGTGCACCAGGAATGATGCTGATAACTAGTTTAGAGCTGCCTACACCTCCCTGTGATCATCATACAAACATATATATGTGTGTGTGTATATATATATATATTTATATATATATATATGTGTGTGTGTGTGTATATATATATATATATATATATATATATATATATATATATATATATATATATATATATATATATATATATATATATATATATATATATATATATATATACCTTCCATATGCGCTGTCTGAGACGCATCCTTGGTATATTATGGCGAGCAAAAATACCATCAATGTATTGTATACTGAAGCAAAGACGTCTGCGCTGGCTGGGACATGTCTCCCGCATAGAGGATGGTCGTATTCCAAAAGATCTCCTATATGGTGAATTGGTAACTGGGAATAGACCTACAGGAAGACCAAAGCTGCGCTATAAAGATGTATGTAAACGTGACCTAATAGATACCAACATAGGCACAGAGACATTGGAAAAATCAGCTGCAGATCGACTACTATGGAGACAGAAAGTGAAAGACGGACTTTCACATTTTGAAAGAAACCGAACACAACAAGCTGTGGAGAGGAGACACCGTAGAGTAAAACTGCCTCAAAATGAGGGAGTATCTGCTTTTGTGTGTATCCTGTGTGGCAAAGGCTGCCATTCATATATATATATATATATATATATATATATATATATATATATATATATATATATATATATATATATATATATATATATATATATATAAAAACCAGAAATGTCCCTGGTAATTGTACTGGGTTTGAAATATCTAAAATTCTGTTGGAAAAACATTACAAACTTAGGCTTAATTCTACATTGAGTCCATAGTTCAGAGGTGGCTTGTGCATCGACCATGGTTAATTCCACTGTCTTTAAAATGTATAAAAGTCAGTTGGAAAAATATTACGAAGTTAGGCTTGATTATGACTAGTTTATGTGTTAGATGTGACCATCGCATTGACCACGGTTTACTATTCAATTGGCAGCATGTGATAAGTAGGTCAATACCCATATGTGTTTTTATGTTACCGAGTTGACATAATTAATATGGGAGCTTCCTTCGATGTCTGAGTGTACCTGCCTTAGAGGCAAGGAACCAACAGTCTGCATACAAGTGAGTCATCTGTAAAGTGGATGTGCACGCAACACTTAGGTTCTGGAACAGGTCTAGAGTCCAGAAGTGGACCAACAACCAGAACTTTCCCCAGAGTTCACATTTGATGATCGTGAAGAAGAAGAAGATGTAGAATGAGGCTTTATCACATAAAGGTATTCCTCTGAGAGGTAACATTCAAGTCTCAAGCGACCTAAACACTGATCAACAGACTTAAAATAACTTTGTCATCTAGAGCAGTGTTCTTTATCTTTTTTTACACCCCGGATTGGGAGAAATAAAAAAACATTTACAGACTGACTGATAGCCAAAACAGAAAAATTACACATGTAGATAACATTTTTAGGCAGGGAATCAACAATCTGCAAACAGTTAAGTCAGATCTGTTAAATAAATGTGCAGGCAACACTCAAGTTCTGGAACAAGACCAGAGTCCAGAGGTGGACAACCAGAACTGTCTACGGAAGTTCACAGCTAGTGAACACGAAGAAGTAAAAGTAAAATAAAGATCTCTTTTCACACCTTTAGGCGCATCGGGCATATGGGATGAGCACCCATATTTTTTGCAGACCAATCGGCGCAAGGTGTGTAATATGGTCAGCATTACGCCGGCCATCTTTACTTTCTCAGGACATACATCCTAGTGCCTTTTTTAGAAGGATATCCACCTGCTACGCCCCATACCATGATAATAATCCATGTAGCCAGCAAAGGGTTTTGATTGCAGTACGTTGGAATTACAAGTCAGACTCCCAGCGCCCAAGCCACAAACGCTGCCAAACATCAAGAAGAAAGAAGATAAAGTACCTATAATGAGTACACCAGGTACGGCATTCGCGCACATTGCTATTCAAGGTAGATAAGTGATGTATGGGGAATATCAAGGGTTCTCTTACTTTATTTACTTCCAGGCAAACTTAGGAAACATGGAGAGCAGGAAGGAAGTTCTGAAAATGGTTGGTGGAAACATGGCACTGATACAAGCCCAAGCAATAGTCGTAGGTTTTCTCTCGTCAGTCACTGCCATGGTGTTTGGATGGATCCCCAAAGGCGAATTCAACTTCAGTCACGCTTTGCTGTTGTGTGCTAGCAGCTTGTTTACGGCAGCTGTAGCCAGTTTTGCTTTAGGTCAGTCTTTGTGTGTGAAAGTAGGGAGCAGCTGGGGTGTCCTTGCTAAACGCTCGCTTTAGGCCCAAAGGTAGTGTGTTCAAATCTGCACGGAGCCGGATTTTTTAACAAATTGTGTTGTTCTCATGTCGACCCAGCCTTAAATGGGTACTAGGCAATGTCCTTTGAAGTAAGGCAACATCACTCACTAAGTACCAATTGGTATGTAAATATAGATAAGCTGATTTATCAAATATGGGTCTAGCGCTATAATCCCAATAAGGTTATAGAATTGATATTATGTCAGAATGAAGAGGTAGCATGTTAACATCAGATGGAATATGTATTAAAGAAGTTAACTGTAAAATAGCTCAAGCACAGGCAGCATTTTACAAAATACAGAACATTTTATGTAATTTTACTTTGTCAGTTGAGACGAGAAAAGGAAATGTTTGAAAACTATATAAATCCCATCTTGAAATTTGGAGGTGAATCATGGACAGTTGGTATATTAGTGAAAATTTATTTGGAAGCCACATAGATGTGGTTTCATAGATAGATGATGAGGAATACCCTGGAAAGAAACTGACTCACAAAGAGAATTGATTGCCCACATCAGAAAAAGACAGTCTACATTCTTTGGTCATATGATGAAAATGAGAAAACTGGAGTACACCGTGACAGTATGAAAGTTGGAGGGGAGGAGAGGGAGACTGAGAGAAAAGATGTTGGACATTTTGACATCATAGCATAGAGTAAATCTTTGTCAGAGTTGATTGAAAAAAAAACGAAACAGAAGGTTGTGGATAGACATGACTACCAGTGCCACACAGTATGGACTTTAAGAAGAAGAGGTGTTTAAGTTGTGTGTCAAGACCAGGGCTCATATGGTCATGACCTGCCTTTACCTCCTCTGAGTCATCCTAGAAACAGGTTCCCTGGTGGGGGCCTTATCAACGTACAGGAGGGCTTCCATCTTCATGAAATATTCCAGTTTAGAAAAATCACTGAGCTGATTCCTGATGCTGGTGATTAAATACCCCATGTTATTCAGATGTGTTGGAAAATGAATAAGCAGACAGATTTGCTGGCAGGTGCATCACTTGGTGGTAAATTGATGTATAAATAAACTAGATGATGTCGGGGCCCTTTGGCAGTGTGGAAGCACACATAGATTGTTATGGTCTAAAGATAGCATTACAGCGGGGAGTGACTAGGAGATCTAGCCAGTGCTTGGCACTGAGGAAAGACAAAAAGGAAATCCTTGACTATGGGATTTGGCAAGTGCTCAATACTGAGGAAAAACAAGAAGGAAATCCATGACTATGGGATCTGGTCAGTGCTCAAAACTGAGGAAAGACAAGAAGGGAATCCATGACTATGGAATCTGGCCAGTGCTGAACACTGAGGAAAGACAAAAAGGAAATCCATGACAATGGGATCTGGCCAGTGCTGAACACTGAGGAAAGACAAAAGAGGAACTCCATGACTATGGGATCTGACCAGTGCTCAACACTGAGGAAAGACAAGAAGGACATCCATGACTATGGGATCTGGCCAGTGCTCAACACTGAGGAAAGACAAGAAGGAAATCCGTGACTATGGGATCTGGCAAGTGCTCAACACTGAGGAAAGACAAGAAGGAAATCCATGACTATGGGATCTGGCCAGTGCTCAACACTGAGGAAAGACAAGAAGGAAATCCATGACTATGGGATCTGGCCAGTGCTCAACACTGAGGAAAGACAAGAAGGAAATCCATGACTATGGGATCTGGCAAGTGCTCAACACTGAGGAAAAACAAGAAGAAAATCCATGACTATGGGACCTGGCAAGTGCTCAACACTGGGGAAAGACAAGAAGGAAATCCGTGACTATGGGATCTGGCTAGTGCTGAACACTGAGGAAAAACAAGAAGGAAAACCATGACTATGGGATCTGGTCAGTGCTCAACACTGAGGAAAAACAAGAAGAAAATCCAACCAGACTATTTCTGGTACTATCTGAATTGAAACTTTTCACTGGCTGCTGAATGAGGGGACAGAGCCGTAAAGAGAATATCCAGTGCTATGATGGCAGTTCCTAGATCTGCTCCACTCACTAGTAAGCAAGTGAGACTTTGAACCGTAACTTCGTACACTTCCTCAGCAGGGCACATGATGTTGACATATATCTTTTATAACTCTTAACACAATTGGACAATAAACAAGCAACTAGAAAATTAAACTGAGTCTCTGAAGATGTGGGTATACAGTAGAATAGATGGTTTTTCATGGAAACAAACACTGTCCAATACAGAGGTTCTGGAAAGGCTACAAATGAAATGACAATTACTAAAAGAAATTCACACCCAAAAAAAAGAGAGAGAGAGAGAGAGAGAACTGAAATACTTCAGCCACATTAAAAGACATAACACACTTTTAAAAACTATTCTGGACGAAAAAGTCAAGAGCAAGAGGTGGGCAGCGATACAGGCGGGAGGACAACATCAAGAAATGAATTAGTGTACATCTAGGACAAGAGACAGAGCATTTTAAAGATCCATTGCAGCCAACCTTCACTGTGGAGATGGCATCTGATTGATTAAACACTTACTTACTTAGTCACTCCTCTTCTACCTTGGGGTGTAGAGGTTCACCAGACGTCTCTTTCAACGGTTTTCTTTATGGCTTTGTTCCATTCCACTCCTCTGTCAGTTATGGACTGTTGGATTTTGTCTTCCCAGCGGACCCTGGTCTGGTTCCGTGGTTCTTAGCCTCTCATGCTTGCTATGGTGGCTGATTTTCTCCCATTCTGCATTCATGTCCAAACCATCGTAACTGTGACTGATCCATTAGGGTTTGTAAGGACTGGGTATCAAGATCTTGACGTATTGTCTGGTTGCGAACTTTGTCCCTTCTTGTCACTTGGACCACCTTTCTCAAATACTTCATTTCTGAGACCTAAAGCTGGCTTCTGTGAGCTGTTATTGCCCATGACTCACACCCAAGGGTCAGTACTGGCACGTAGATAGAACATCAAATAGCCATTTTCGTCCTATTGCCAGTGCTAGGAAACCCTCGGTTTATAGCCTGAAAGAGTCTTCCAGCGGCTTTTTTTTTTAATGTGGCCACATCAGTCTTAATGCCTCCATTTGGTCTATTGCAATTTCGAGGTATTAGAACTGGTTGACCTGCCCCGATGCATACTGTCCCAGCATGATCTGATGATTCGTCTCCTCTCTTGAGATCGCATGGTTTTCGCTTACATGTCTTCTCTTGACTTGACCACTGACCAGTAGTAAAAGTAAAAAAGTAAAGGCTCCCTCTTCCACACCTTCAGGTGTATAGGGCTAGACCTTTCACAGACCAATTAGCACTTGGTGGGGGATGTTGTCAACACCATGCTGGCTACCTTTACTTCCCAGGACTTTACCTAGTACCTATTAAAGTCTAAGTCAACTTGGAAGCCCAGTCACTGACCACTAGCTCTTAATAATTTGTGCATATGCTATATGTTCATGTCAGTTATGTTTATTAATGAATGGAGGCTACTGTTCAGTTACTGCAAAGGCTAATTCAGGTAACAGATGCCTCAGGAAGTCGGAGATTGGCTGAAAGGCACAAATAATGTAGCGATGCTGTAAACTGGCAAACTACAGGTACATCCTTGAATGATGTCAGAAGAAGAACAGTTTGGCTGTGGAAGATTCTTTAAAAAATAAGAAATATAATCAGTTTATGTCCATTTTTTTTTTTCCTTTATGTTCACGGGTTGTAAACTCTGACTGGAAGTTCTAGTTGTTCCTCCACTTCTGGACTTTATTCTACAGATCTGGTTTATGTGTATGCAGACTGTTGGTTCCCTGCCTCTCAGACAATGCACTCTGGCTTCGAAGGAAATGCCACTAATTAGTTGACTTTTATGTCATGCTTTTTAGGAGGCACTAGGTCTGTTGTTTCTTTTTTCCCTCCCTACAATGGGGCCCCAGAACCCACACAGAGAATGCCCTTTTGAAGACACGTGTGTGTGTTTTTTTGTGTTGTTGCAGGTTTTATCATGGTTGTTGTGGTGTTATTGTCGCGGTACTTTAAGATCAACCCAGACAATGTGGCAACACCCATCGCTGCTAGCTTAGGAGACCTGGTGACTTTAGCGTTGTTAGCCTGGGTGGCTAATACTTTGTTTATCGCCATAGGTGAGTCAGGCAGTCAGGTGCCATCTGTGCACAGTGAAGGTTGGTGACAGTGGATCTCCAGCATGCTCTTGTCTTTCGCCCTGCATGTACACAGTCAGACTGTTGTCTCTCTCTATCTCTTGGTGTTATCCTCGCACTTGTATCACTGTCTGCCTCTTGATAGGTAAATTCCCCATGTGGGTTCTAGGGTCCCATTGTGGTGGGGGGGGGGGGGGTTGGAGAATAGACCCACTGCCTTCCTAACAAGCATGTCTTGAGAGTCGATTTAGGGGTCCCTTCAAATCGAAGTGCATCTGCTTGAAAGAGGCAAGGAACCAACAATCTGCATACAGATAAGCCAGATCTGCAAAATGGATCTGCATGCAAAACTCAAGTTCTAGAGCAAGACTAAAGTTCAGAAGTGGATGAACAACCAGAACTTTATATCAGAATTTATAGCCGGTGAATAAGAAAGAAGCCTCATGTGCCACTAGGCATAACGAGAACTGATGATGATGAATAAGAAAGAAGAAGATAGGTAAGTGGTCTTTTAGTGATTGTATGTAAAAGAAAATAACAGGTGGAGAGTCTTCTATATTACCTACTAGCTGAGCCTGCAAACAGCATGAACAACTTTTGGCACAACACTTGCAAGCGAGTTAAAGTCAAAATGTTAAGATCGTGCATCTTTTCTATGGCAGATTATGGTTATGAGACTTAGGCTCTTCCTCGGTGATTGAAGAAGAGAAAAATCTGTTTTTTTTAACTACTTCTTCTTCACGTTTACCAGCTGTAAACTCCGGTGGAAAGTTCTGGCTCAGCCACTTCTGTTCTGTCCTGTACTGTCATTATCCTTTTCCCGGCAGCAAAGACAGTTTATATAATGTTCTACTTTCCTTTTCCAGACAGCAAAAACAGTTGTATATAATAGGACAGTATAAACAGGACAGTCCTGTTCCAGAACCTGAGTGTTGCGTGTGCATCCGTTTGACATATCTGACTAATTTGTGTGCAGACTGTTGGTTCCTTGCCTCTCAGGCAGATGCAGTTCGACTTTGAAGGAAGCTGTCAATTAGTTGACTCTTACGACATGCTTTTGGCCAGGCAGTGGGTCTATTCTTGTTTTCTCTATAATAGGGCCCCGGAACCCACACTGGAAAGTTTTTGAACTGAAATGCTATAGAAAGATTCTTAAAATACAATGGACCAAAAAGAGAAAAACAGCATCATGCTACATGATGGGAACATTGAGGACAGTTGGCATAGAGCCGGCAAATGATGTCATAGAACATCAAAGAATCAAATGGTTTTGTCGTCTGGTCAGAATGGAACAAAATCAGACAACAGCTAGAGTGAACTACATGAGAACAGCAAGCTAAAAGTCGAAAGGCTGACCAAGAAAGAGATGTGTAGAGGGAGTAAAAGAGACGCTACGGAAATGCAGTATGACATTAACACAAACTAGGCAACTAGCAACAGACGGGAGACTACATCTAACTCGTCTCTGCAATGCTCTGCAGCAGCGGTTCTGAACCTTCCTAATGTCACCACCTTTTAACACAGTTCCTCATGATGTGGTGACCCCCCACTATAAAATTATTGTTGTTCCTACTTCATAACTTCAGTGAATATGTGTTTTACGATGGTCTAAGACAACCCCTGTCAAAGGGTCGTTCAACCCTCACAGGGTTCATGACCCACAGGGTGAGAACTGCTGCTCTACAGCATAAGCAGTAGGACAAATGGAGAAGAAATTTGCCATTAGAAAGAGAAAGAGAAGGGTAATCACATAAATGACAGATGTGGGTAATAACTGCAGCAGTGAACCACAAGGACTCAGAAATGCTGAAAAAAGACAAAGAAGAATTCACTTGACGTTGCTTTCTAAGCAGTTGACTCCCAATACCATTGACAAAATTAACGCAAAGTGGTCTGCTTCCAGATCACCTGCAGCTGGAATCAAACTGGATCTCTCGGACTTATGATTATGCAGCATATTCATGCAATATTTAAGTCACCAGACACGGCATAATAGGAATAATTAAAATTTAGTTGAGTGCTCTTTGCTGTTGTGGCTTTTCTAGGCAAATTTATGTTCAGTAGTTTGCCATTGCTCTCTGAACAGTTGGCTCTCAATGCCACTGTTGAAATCAATGCAAGGCTCTCTGCTGTTTGGATCAAAACCCGTATCCTGTTATTATGAAGCTTGTTCCCAGCACCTAAGCCACTGACGCCAAATATGTATGGACAAACTGATAAATATACTTTGGGTTTCTTGGTAGTTAAAGAGTGATGTTATTTTATTGTTTATCCCTGCTAGTGTCATTAATCCCTCATTATTTTATTCATTCCTAGTGTTATAATTCCTCATTATTTTTTTTCATCCTTATTTTAATAATTCTTCACTGTTTTACTTCATTCATAGTGTTATAATTACTTATGCTATTTCATCCCTAGTGTTATAATTCCACATTATTTTATTTCCTCGCTAGGGTTATAATTCCTCATTACTTTATTTCATCCCTAGTGTTATAATTCCTCATTAATTTATTTCAAACCTAATGTTATGATCCATTATGTTATTTCATTCCTAATGTTATAGTTCCTCATTATGTTATTTCATTCCTAGTGTTATAGTTCTTCATTATGTTATTTCATCGCTGGTGTTATAATTCCTCATTATTTTATTTCAAACCTAATGTTATGATCCATTATGTTATTTCATTCCTAGTGTTATAGTTCCTCATTATGTTATTCCATTCTTAGTGTTATAATTCCTCATTATGTTATTTCATCCCTAGTGTTATAATTCCTCGTCACCTCTTACCTAAATTTCTGCAGAGAAACAGCACTGGTTGGCACCTGTGATCATTGCTTTCTTCATGCTGCTGTTACCTTTGTGGGTGGTAATCTGTATAAACAACAAATACACAGATGACGTTATATATAGTGGGTGGACGCCGGTTTTAAGTGCAATGATTATATCTAGGTAGGTTATGTTTTTCTGTTGTCAGTATATTATCATCATCATCAGGTGCCTTGCCGACTGGCATAGGAGATCATGCCTCTCCACAATACAACATCTCCTGTATCATGTATCAGTTTGTGTGCTGTCACACCTCCATGCCATGCAACAAGACTGTCAAGAATCTTCTGGTCAGTATAACAATACGATAAAGGCATGCAGAGGTGAGCTGGTTTTATCTGCTCGGTGCCTCAACAGAATGCTTCTAAATGCTCTGAGGAGAATGATGCTGCAGGGAGTGACCATGGGATCTGGCCGATGCTCAACACTCAAGGGAAAGGCGAGGCAGGTGTACAATCAGACAGCTTCTGGTACCATTGGAATTGGAACTCTTCAGTTGCTACTGAAGATGGGGACAGAGCGTTTATGAGAGTGTCCAGAGTTCTGTGATGTCGATCTTATATTCCACAAAATGTTTCATCAAGCCAAGCCTTGTATGTTATAGTGACAGTAGAACTCTTTTTTCAATCAATGAGAGGCTTGCTGACAATATTTTTTCTTTAACTTTAAATTAATTCCACAGTGGCCACAGTTTCTTTGTCCAGTATGCATCGTTCGCCCTGCTACCTCACAAACAGTATTTGATTAATCTATTTTGCTGGCCAAGCAAGGAGTTCATTCCTTTTTTTTAAAGATCTACACAGACCTTTCAGCTATGTTCTTCTTATTCTACATTCATCTGAAGATGTAATTTTGTTATGACCATTTACAACATGGCTGTGATGTTTGCGCCTTTCAGCTGACACATCTGACTTCTGCAGGCGTTTGTTGACTGGGTTAGCCTTCCTGGTAGCTATGTTCTAAATACTTCAAATTTTTTTAAGAACTGCTCATTTCTTCTTCTTTACCTCCTCTTTTACTGCTTCGGGTGTGGCGTTGACCAAAAACTCATTGTGGTACTGTAGAGTTTCTCTGATGTAATCCTTCTATGTGGTTTTTGGTCTACCACTTGCTCTACGTCCCTCTCCTCTTTTGCTTTATGCCTTGAATGGTATAGCACCAGAAGGCATTCTCTCCAAGTGGGCAAACCATTTGATTTGCTGTTGCTCATTTACTCCTCCTTCATTTTAGTAGAATGAACATTGGAATTTAGTCATATTTGTTACCATTGTTCAAGAGAACATCTTTCAACATTCTTTTAGAGCTGTCAGTGAAAAATCGCCACTCATCTAGTGTATAACTTACTCACTTTTTCATTTACAAGATCTCATACAGTAGTAAAAGATATAAGATTGTATTCTTTATAAAATAATGGAACAAATAGTGCTCTTTGCAGCGATCAAATGTAACAGCCGGTAAATTTTTTTTTTCTTCAGGGCTGTGTTATTGTATTATAATATCTTTGTGTTCAATACATCAAACTAAAGTATATTGAGAACATGCAACTTTTCTGTGAAAACATACCATTGTCTGGTATTAGTCCGAGGCACAATGCCAGGAAACTAAAGTAAACATTTAGAGGACATGCATTTTTCCTGTGAAAACATGTCAATGTCTGGTGTTAGTCTGAGGCACAATGCCAAGAAATTAAGTTAAACGTCTTTCCTGTGATGACACAGAGGGAATCATAAAATTTTTTCAATGTTCTCTTCTTCTTTTCCACCTTATCGAGCAGTTGGGGGGAAGGTGTAGGGATCTCTGTGCTCTTTCTAGTTTGTTGCATACATTGATCTTCATTTCTCTGAGGCTGTTGTTCCATGTTTTGCTTGGTCTTCCCCTTGCTTTGTGTTCATTGTATTTCTTCACATGCTTGTCTGGGGCTGTTGGTACATGGACTGTCTCGTCTGATGGCCAAACCATAAAATCTGATTCTCTTTAATTAACTAAACGACTGGCTTCATTCCTAGTCATTGAACATTTTCCAAACACTAAAGATGTATGTAACATAATCCTGAAAATTTGTAGAATGTAAGGACCAGGAAGAAGAAACATAATAAGACTACAAAATCTGAAAATTTAAAAAATGACATCATATCAATAACAACAACAAAAATTAAAACAAAAGAAACGGAAAGATAAGTAAAATTGTTTTCTCAGATTAAATCCTTAAATGGAAAATGGTAATTACAGAGAGAAGAAAATATAGCATATGCGCCCACACACATTCACACACACACACACACATAGATGAAGCAAGAGAATGGCTGGGCCAATATAGAAAAGTATGCCATAATGCACCTCCACAGTACACCATGGAGTGATATTCATATGCACGAACATTTCTTACTGTTAATTCTTTTTTTCCCCTCATTTCTTCTCCCCAGTATTGGTGGTTTAATTTTAGATTATGCTGTTTCAAGCTACGATGGTATAGCTGTTTTTCAGCCTATTATAAATGGTAAGGTTTGAACGTTTTAAAATACTTTCTTTTGTATTGTATTGTAATCATATGAGAGATTAATATGATATTTATTGTAATTTCTTCTACTTCTGCATTTGTTCATAAAACTTGGTACATTGTGTTGTTGTTTACAGCTAGGCTGTGATATCTGTGCCTTTCTGCCCAACACATTTGATTTCAGCAAATCCTTAATTAGTCACTTTTCAACAGCAAGCTTGAAAGGTTAAAGCTTAAAGTTGAGATGATCGACTTCATTGGAACAGGTTTTATCCTGTATGGCTCGGTCTCTCTCTGCTCAGAACAGATAGCCCCCTGCCAAGAGTGTTGAACAGAGCATGAACTCCGTAGCTCCAGCGACCATCCCCAGGGATCTCTGTAAGAATTGCATTCATGAACTGAACAACCCTAAAACAAACCCACGATCTTCTGAGTGCGATGAGACCACTTCACCTCCTATCATCCTAAAATTTGTACCTGGAAGTGTCCCTGGAAGTAAAGGTGGCTAGCAAGATGTTGACCCCATCACTGGTTTCCGAGGCAATGATGTGAATAATTATGGCAGGCTTATTAAGGGCAGTGAATATCTTTTATTTTTCCCCTGCAGAATATGATTCTTATGATCCCTTATGTAGACTGAGAGTGCATTGTTCACAGTGTGGTGCTAGGTGTCTTAAACAATAGGACCATTGTATTTTCTCAGCATATTGCATAAGGCAACTAAGGGGGGTTGGACATGAAGCCAGCAACTCCACACTTTAAAAAAAAATATAGCCGCTACAGAAACAGAGACAAACCTAAGTTTGTCTCGCTTTTGGCCTATTGGCGCATATAAGGCTAATTTTATATTTTATAGACTAATTGGCACTTGCTGGGTAATGTGATCAGCATCAAGCCGGCTGCCTTTACTTCCTAGGACTGCACCTAGTACCTGCTCAAGACTGGGTTGACCTGGACAAATGAATCAGAGTGCACTCTAAAGTGAGGATAAAGGGCCAAAGAAAAAGCAGAACAAAGGGAATGGTTAGAAGTAGAATCGAGTAATTTAAATTGTCAATAATTAATTCTTGTAATCAGAGCTTATTCTAAATGGGGAATCTGGGCCGTAGAAGAAGCAGAAAAAAAAAGGAAATGTACTTAAAAATGTCAGCTCCTAATCTCGTCATTTGAGTGTTGTCCTGACCAAGCAGAAAACATTATTGCTGGCTTATGCTTCATATTTTCAGTGGGTAGTCGCGGTTAGACGCTCGCCGCGGATTGAAAAGTCGTAGCTTGGCTCCAAGGTTGACCCAGCCTTGAGTGTACCGGGTGAAGTCCCAGGAAGTAAAGGTGGCCGGCGTGATGCTGACCACATCACCCATCTTTGCCGATTGGTCTTTAAAAATATAGGTCTAGCCCTATACGTCTAAAGGCATGGAAGAGGGTCCTTTACTTTGACTTTGACATATTTTCAGTCTGTTGTTTGTGTCCATAGATGTTAATATTTATCTCATGGTAGTTACGCACTTATAAACATGCTGTTTCAGGTGTTGGGGGGAACCTTGTAGCTGTTCACGCAAGTAGAATAAGCACTTCACTGCACATGAAGGGCAAGCCAGGTTCTCACATCAAAGATGACAAATTGAGGGGGTGTCTGAATATATTCAAGGTCTTCTTTGGATGTGGTAATTACTTAGATAAGATAAAACCCACTGTGTTGTTTTCCTCTTCTTATAGTCAATGCCATGGGGCATCTTGTCTCTTTCCACAGCCTTCTGTTGGGTGTACTGCCAAACATTTCTTATGCTGATATTTATCTGTTCCTTGATGGTAAACTAACATCTTCTCTCTTGGTCTTCTCTGTATAGTTATTAATAAGTAAAGGACTCAGTTTAAGAGAAATAAGCAAGTTCCAGTGGTCCAGGGAAAGAAAAGATGCTGGCGTTGAATAGGACTCTGTTAAGAAAACATGCGAACAGTATAACTAGAATGTCTTTGCAGTGGAACCCACAGGGTAATAAAGGCAGTCTCCCCAAAAAGCAAATGGAGAATGAAGTAAAATAATTGGGGAACATGGAGTGAGCTGTATGTACTGGTGAAGGATAAAACTACTTGATATGAGTTGCTTAAGAGCGTGTGCTGCATTGGGGGATAGAAGGCAACAGAAGAAAGGACCCAGTTCGCACCATCGCCTTGTCATGCATATGATGCGAGGCATACTTTAGACTACTCGGCACTCAGTAGGTGACTAGTTAACATTACGCCACTCACCTTTATTTCCCAGGACTTTACCTTGTACCTATTTTTCAGCTTTGGAGCCTTTGTCATTTTGAACCCTGCATTATCGTATTTATTTTTTAGCAGTATAAATGAAGAGGTAATACAGACACAAACAATTTCACCTCTCTGTCTTCTAGCTTGGAAAACTTGGGAATCTGGCAGTTCCTGGAAAAGTCCAATATTCTAGGGGTGTTAGGTTTAGGGTTTGTTGGTGTCTCTGAGGCGGTCAGGGCTGATATAACACCCCTAGAATATTGGACTTTCCTGGGAACTCTGGGATTTCCTTTGTTTGGGGTAAATTAAAATTAAAGTACTTACAAAAAAATATTATTTAACTGGAAATGTAGATATGACATGGAACAACAAATAAATCATCTTTCAGGCTTGAAATTTGAATGAGAAAGTTTAATTTTTACTCACGGAAAGGTAATTGTTTTCCGAAGACATGTCATATATTTAGATATGGAAGTGTGGTGGTAATAAAACGGATTATGAGAACCATTTTATGTTTAAAGGGTGTTGGTTTATTAATGGATAACATCAGATGGAAGATGTGTCACATAGGAAAGAACAAAATAGGACAATCCTGAACTGCCTTTTAAAAACTGAAGAGCATTTTATGCAATAAATTTATGTCATTGGAGGTTAGAAAAAGAATTCTCACATGTTACATTGAGCCAGTTTCTAACAAACGGCTGTGAATCCTGGACAATAAAAAACAAGCCAAACAATATCTTGAGGCACCAGAGTTCTGGTTTTTACAGAAAAATCCTTTGAATTCCTTAGGCGGCTAAGAAGAGCAACTCAAATGTTTTGAGAGAGGCAGATGCTCAGAGACAGCTAATCGCAAACATCAGAAAGAGACAATTATTTTTTACACATATTATGAGAAGAGCGAAAATGGAGCATGTTGTGACCATTGGAAAATCTGTGGAAAGTGAGACAGAGGAAGACGTCACGAGAAGATTCTGATGGCCTTTTGTCATGACATCAAGGGGTGTCACCACACAAACTGATACACACAGATTGTGGAAAGGCATGATCGCCTACGCCAGTCGACAAGGCACTTGATGATAATGATGGTTTATTTATGTACCTTTTAGAACTGTTTTTTTCCACCTGTGGTCATGGACTGCCACAGATCCAATGGTCTGCTAAACATTTTCACCCAGTCATGTAGGGGCTAAGTCATTTTAGGGCGACATTTGTGCTTAGCAAATGAGACTCTACACACAGCAGTGTAGCACCAGAAGTATAGGCCATGTCAGTGATAACAACCAACCAGAGAAATTGAACGGATGGTATTGCAGCGCTTCTTCTGTCAGAAACAACGCTCCAGGTATATAAGATTTTTTACTCTCTAAGGCAGAGCCTTTTACCTAAGTTTACTCGAGGGCCAAAATTTGAAAATAGGGTCACCCACAGGCCCGAGACCTGAGCTCCAGCATAGAAAGATCATTCATACAATACAACATGCAGTGATCTGCCAGCCACTTGCTATGCTCCTGCTGGTTACAAGTTAAATAGCCTTGCTTAAAGGAGCAACAGAAGTTGCATTAGTTAAATCTTTAATTTAGTACATAAAATACATTTGGTGTCTGTGTGGCTTAGTGGTAAGTGAAGTTGCTTGACAATCCAATCATCAATGTTTGATTTCTGGAGCCCATTTAAAAAAAAAAAGACTATTCATTCTTGTGGCCCTCACAGTGATGAGAGAGTTACACTGTGGAAGAGATTTGAGACCCTGCTATGTCAGTATTGCCTTAACTGTCAGCCAGTCCGTGAAATAATTTCTCCTGGTCCCTAGGCGTGAAAATGTTGAAGAACACTGCTGTAGAAGACTGAATTTTAAATCTTAATGTCCCATTATGTTGTTGGGGTCTCTAATGTATGTGTCAGACATGTGTCTTGTTCACATATGGTACATTTATGTTCACATATATTTAATTTCTGTTCATATACAATAATTTCTGTTCACATACAGTGCCTTTCTGTTCAGATATAGTACACTTTTTGTTCACATATAGTACATCTGTGTTCACATACAGTATATTTATCTTCACACATACCACATTTAACTTCACACATACTACATTTGGCTTCACATATAACACATCTATGTTCACAAATAGTACATTCCTGTTCACATATTTGTAAAGCTTTGCTAACATATAGCCTTCTCCGATAGGTGTTCATTCCAGAGCGGCTAGAGTTCTGGTCCTGTTGGCAATACCAGGGCACTTACTGTTCTCATATACTGTTTTCTATATGGGGGCCGGGCATACTTCCAGTACACTTATGTTCCAGGTATTTTACCTCTCTGCTGCTGTGTTGCAGGTAAGTTAAGCATCTAGAAAATGAAATGACATGCAGAGAGAGAGAGAGAGAGAGAGAGAGAGAGAGAGAGAGACGAGAGAGAGAGAGAGAGAGAGAGAGAGAGAGAGAGAGAGAGAGAGAGAGACACACACACACACACACACACACACACACACACACACACACACACACACACACACACACACACACACACACACACACACACACACACACACACACACACACACACACACACACACACACACACACACACACACACACACACACACACACACACACACACACACACACACACACACACACACACACACACACACACACACACACACACACACACACACACACACACACACACACACACACAACACACACACACACACACACACACACACACAACACACACACACACACACACACACACACACACACACACACACACACACACACACACACACACACACACACACACACACACACACACACACACACACACACACACACACACACACACACACATATATATATATATAACATACATACACACATACATACATATATATAGAGAGAGAGAGAGAGAGGGCCAGTTTAAACATATGGCTGTAAATCCTAGACAATTAACAAACAAGCCAAACAATTTCTTGAGGCCTCGGAGATATTGTTTTACAGAAGAATCCTTGGAGTTTCTTGGACAGCCACAAAATAACAACCCAATTATGTTCAAAAAGCGAGAACTCGAAGAAAACTTATCACAAACATCAGAAAGTTGTATTTGTGCGTTTATCATAATGACTCCCTGTATGGATTCCATTTTGCCATGGAAGGGTGGGGGTGGTAATAGTCCTCCTTCTTGGGACCTTTTCCAAGCCCGTGGCATATCAAGCATTTGATGCTAAACTCATATTTTTTAGACCAGTCGACCTTCGATGGGTGGTGGGTGGGGTCAAAACTCTTCAGCAGCCCTTACTTCCTGGCACATTACCTAAGAATAGACCTACTGTACTCTAACAAGCGTTTTGTAAAGGGTGAGTAACTGGTATTTTGCCGAAACCAAATATGTTAGGACTGAAACGCACAGATATCATAGCCTAGCTGTAAACCTCAAGACAGTTTGCCGGCTGTCTTTTTGGGGGTCAGATGCAGAAAGAGGAGGAGAAGAAGAAGAAACATGTGTAATGTTGTTTCCTATATAGGGGTTGGTCATGCTACTTTGGTAGAAAATTAAGGGCTTTGTTCTATGTCCTGAAGTGTGCAGAAGTAACTCATGGATAGCTGGACGATTAGTGAAAAATTATTTTGATGCTGGGGAGATGTGGTTTTATAAACGAATGATGAGAATACCCTGGCCACATAAAAAGAGGGAGGATGTTTAGAAAAAAACTGATTCAGGAAGAGAACTGATTGCCCACACCAGGAGACAGTGTACATTCTTTGGTCACATCATGATAAGGAGAAAACTGGAGCACATTGTGACGTGGGAAAGTTGGATGGGAAGAAAAGCGGAGGGAGACTGAGAGAAAAATGGTGGACAGTTTAACATCATAGCACGGCAATTCATCTGTGTCAGAATTTATTAAAAGTACACACAATAGAAGTTTGTGGATAGACATGACTGCCACGGCGTGGACTCTAATAAGACGAAGAAGAGACATTGTAGTTATATAGTGCTAGTTCTACATTTGTATAGGGCCGTCTGTGTTCTGTGAGTGGTAGGGGTCACTATTTTTTCTGAGTGTTTTCACTTCCTGGCACATTACCTGGCACTTATTTTAGGCTGGGTTGATCTGGAAGCCTGTGTCAGCCGTTTTGTACACATTTAACCCTTTTTTTTTCCAACTTTTATTGGGTCGTTTAAACCATTATTAAACTTTTATTATGTCTTTTAACCCTATTTAAATGGGAAGGGGGGGGGGGGGGGGTGTCATCCGGCCCTTTTAAAATTTGTATTGTGACATTGAACCCCTAATTACACTTTTGTTTTGGTCCTTTAACTGTATTTCATCTTTTGTTGTGACATTTAACCTTAATTAAACTTTTGTTGTGTCATTTTACCCTTATTTCAAATTTTTAGTGTCTTTTAACCTTTATTGCAGCCATTATGTTCATTTAACCCGACTCTTATGTTCATTAAATTGTGTTTTTTTTCTGGGAGGGGGTGGGGATTTGTTGTATACATTATTGCAGCAATTTTTATGTTCATTAACTCTTTCAGTCCAACATAATTTCACAGCAGATGCTCAGTCTGTCACAAAATTGGCATAAAAAAGTACAGGGTATCCCTTTCCTAGTCATAACTCAGACTGTGAAAAATATGAACATATAAAACCAGATTTCTTTGTATTCTAATAACACACTGCGTATGTGGGCATGTGTGTGTGTGTGCGCACACGAGTGTGCCTATGCATTTTACTACCAATGCTTTTATGTTCTTTTGTGGTATTCATAATGTGCATGTTATTACATGAGCATAGCATGCTTTATAGATAAAATACAACTGATGTGTAAAAAATGGGTGTTTGGAAGGGCCGAATGTAAGACGGGCCTGCGTGCCCAATTTGTAACCCTTTGAAAATAAAGTTTGTTTTGTTCGTTCGTTCATTCCTCAGTAGCCAACGAATAGTCGACATGCTAATAGGGCTTAAAAAAATATATAAAAACCTAATAAATTATGAGTAGTACGAAAGGTAGAATAATCATATAATTTATAATAATTAGGCAACTTAAAAAAATATTTTATGGGAACTCTGTTGAACATAGTAGCATTTACAACCTGGTTAAAAATCCACCTTTGTTTTCTTTTCATGTAGCTTCTGTTATAGACTGCACATTTTACTCTTATCGCAACTATTATTATTTTAATTCAACCTTCTTAACAGCCATGGTGGTAATGTTCCACAATTAATGTGTTCCAGGTCATTCTACTGCTCTACATCGCTACCTGGCTGGTTCCACTGATCTGGGTCAGGGGTTCGGATCCAGACAATGTGGCTATTCCATATCTGACAGCCTTTGGGGACCTGTTGGGCACAGCCTTCCTGGCCGTGGCCTTCCATTTACTCTACCTGGTCGGAGACAAAGATGCAGATGTTGGAGAATAACTAGTCTTTGTTCTGACAGTCACGTAAATGTAGCGAGTCTTTGTTCTGGCAGTGGTGTAAATGTAGCGAGTCTTTGTTTTGGCAGTTGCGTAAATGTAATGAGTCTTTGTTTTGAAAGGTGTAAATATAACAAGTGTTAGGTCCGAAAATTACATAAATATAGCCAGTTTTAGTTCAGACTAATATAAATATAACAAATCCTAGTTCTGACAAAACAAGTTTGACAGTTCTTAGTTATGACAGTGACATAAATATAAAATATCTTGGTTATGTCAAAACAGAAATAACAGTCTTTCGTTATGACTGTGACACAGATATAACATATCTTAGTTATGACTTTGACATAAATATAACACGTCATAGTTGTTACTATAACATAAATGTAACATGTCCTAATTATGACAGTAACATAGAACTGTTAACAATGACAGATATGATAGGTCTTAGTTCTGCCCTTGGCAAAAATAAGACCTTTCTTAGTCCTGACATTGACATCAACAGTTTCAACAAACAAGTGCAGATAAGAGGGGAGGGGGTGTTAATTGTTCAGGCCTGCTAGTAATCTAAATTGTGAAAAGAAAGATATAACTGTCTCACATCTGCTGGTTCTTTAGATGGTAGCCATGTTTATTTTTATGCTTGCAGAAGCGGGAGGCCAGCATTAATTATCTGCCAACTTGTGGGTTCAGCAACTTGAAAATAGCTAAATAAATTGCTTGTTATCTTTAAATACATGATATATATATATTTTATATATATATATATTTTAAAGAGATTGTGATGTTTTAAGCATGTTATGAGTGGACCTAAGTATGCAAATTTAGTGACAGATGGTGAGCTTCAACCAAAGAAAAAAAAAAATGAATGAATAAATGGCTACATTTTTTAACCCCCAACTGGCAAAATTCATACAGGAATACAGATTCTGCTGAGGCTGTAGTAAACATTTGAGATAAGGAATCATCGTTGTCTATTCTTGATGGCTTGGCACATGAGAGAAACATAATGCGCTAGACCAGGTAAAACCCTAACAAATTTGAATGTTTAAATAAACTAATATGGATAGATTTTTCGGTGCTTATAGGCTGGAAATTTTGGTTCAGTTGAGAAGTTTGGGGTTTTTGTTTTGAATGAAGGAATTTGGCATGGTTACATAAACTCAGCTTGATTTTTGTGTGCAAAGAGGTCAACATGGCTGGTTTTTGGGTTGAGACATGTAAGCATATTGATTCCAGTTAATAAATTTGGCTGGGTTTTAGTTCACATCTATTTATTTAAAAGAAAGTTTTACTTGATAGATAAACCAGCGTATCTTATATAAGTTTTTGAAGCGGACTATATTCTCTTTATATATATATATATATATATATATATAAAACACCTACCGCATTTGATGAGAATCTGTTAGATTCATGAAAATTTAAATTAAAAAGGGGTATGTATAAACGTTAAATTATCACTAATCCAAGGGAAGTAACTCTTGGAATTGAAAGCCAGAGTAGTTTGTAGGAATTACTTCTTGATGACTAAAGATATTGTGTGTGAACTTTGTATATTAACAGTTTTCACATTCTGCAACCAGAATAACATGGGAACATGTTTGTACATTCAACAGGGTTCATGTAAGGTTGTATTTTTTGTTTGGATTCTTTCATTTCATGGAAATAAACCACAATCAACTTGTATATTTAGTAAATATTATTTATTTTATTAGTGATGCTATATGTTCATACTTTCAGCATGGTATTTCATACCACTGCTAATGTCCACCCAAGGAAGGGGTGTTCTTGTTGAGGGCTTGTTTAAATAAAGGTCAGTTTTCCTGTGTTGCAGTACACAGAGGATTTTTTAATTTTTGCCTACAGGAGCTACAAATTCTTGCCATACTTTTTTTTCTTACACTTTCATACAAATTCTTTGCCAAACTTCTATTTTAAATGCTTTCATGCAAATTTTTTTATATACTTCTGTTTTCACATGCTTTCGTACAAATTCTCTGCCATACTTCTGTTTTTATATGACAGTCTGAATGAACATTTTTGAAGCAGCAGCACTTAATTTGAACTTGTTGATACATCCATAGAGTTTCCCTTAATTAAAGATGAGTGTAGGACACAGATATATATATTTTAAAAAAATTATTGTTTCCATTTTGGACAGTTGCCGAAAATGTCTAGCCTTGATTGATTTTTTTTTCTAATTCCACAGTTTTCTCCTTCCTAAGTTTACTTTTCTTACCTTCCTCATAAGATTTGAGGCTGACATTCTTCATCTTATTTTGTGTTTGCCCTTAAAAGAGCAGTTAGAATATTGTGGGTTACAGCTAGGCTGTGATATCTGTGCCTTACGTGCCAGCAGAACTTTACCTGGGCCTGAAAAGATCCAATCCAAGCTAACCTCTAATTAGTCAGCTTTTACTGCATGCTTGTTAGGGAGGCAGTGAATCTTTTGTTTTGTTTTTTGGTTTCCCAAAATTGGACCCACTACCCACATAAGAAGCTGATATTTTAATTATTCTGCCACCGGCTCCTGATATTTATCTGCATCCATTGAAACATCAGACCCCAAGCTTTAATGTACTAGTTGATAAGCAAGGCATTTGTGTATGTTATTCATGTTTAGGCTATCCTCCGAGTAAAGGTCGTAAATTATTGAGGCCAAAATATACCCTAACAGGGCCTCAGTAACGTGTCAATTGTGCAGTTCCGTCGTCTTAAAATGTGAGCTTCCGGCGACTTCCGCCACCGGCGAGAGTGTCCCCCACGCCGCTAACGCGGTGTGGATTGGGGCTAAACTAGATGGCTAGGGCTCACGAGCAGCTGCTGCCACATCTCCTGCAGCTTCCTTCATTTTATTTGCTCCTAGCCATCTAGTTTAGCCCCAATCCACACTGAGTAAGCACCCTGGGGGACACTCTCAGCGGTGCCGGAAGTTTGCAAATCGGCGGTGGCGTTATAGTCCCCGGAAGTGCGCAATTGACACATGACTGAGGCCCTGTTAGGGTATATTTTCCGCCTCAATAATTTACGACCGTTATTCGGAGTATAGCCCATGTTTGTTTTAGTATTAGTGCCTTTAAAAGCTAGTTACATTAGATGCATTCAGTATTTTGCCTTCTTGTACCGAATGTTACATACTGTTCTACTGGATTGACATTTTAGCACTGAAATGCTTTTACAATTATCCCACCTTGGCCACGATTCTTGCGATTTGTGTTTTAAATTCTTGATTTGCTGTCTGTAAGTAGAATTTACTTAGTGCTTTATTTCAAGAACTTGTAGGAGACAGCCATTTTTATGTTTAGATTATTTCTAATTGATTTTATATTTGTGCAATCAACTGTTTATGATTTTAATAATATAAATTGAAGTTAAAGTTGAGATTATTGACTTCATTGCACCAGGTTTTATCCCATATGGCTAGGTCTCTCTATACAGAAGGGCTAAATGCCTGCCGAGAGTGTAGCATGAACACCGTAGCCAGGGTGACAATCCACAGGGATCTTAGTAACAATTCCATGGTGAGCTAAACGGTGCAGCCATGAAATGAATCCACAACCTTCAGAGCATAAGGCAGATGGCTTGACCACTTTACCAGGGAGACTCCCCAATATTATGTAATATATATTATGTATATAATTGTATTATATAATGTGATAAATTTTACGCTGGTCTCCCCATTTACACACTAGCTCGCTTCTGATTGGACGACCTACTGACCACCTTACTTCTAATAGGTCAACCTCGAGCGATCTGACTTTCACACAAGGTCATGGGGATATTCCGCACTTGCGCTCATACCGCGTGTTGTATATTTCACCTTGCCAGAGCTTTTAACACTTCTAAAACATTTAGATACTGGGTCTTACACACAATCCCCCTGGAGAGTGACAAAACCTATGTCACAGGCCATCTCTTTCTCGGAAATAAAAACGTAAATATCAGACAACAACAGACTGTAACACCCATAGCCTCAACCACAGTAGACTAGTCCAACCAGCTTATTAATGGAGTTGACCTATACCCGGTGGTGTGTAAATGGGGAGACCATTGTATAAATAACCTATAATGTATCTATTTTTTTTATTAAGTAAAAAGGACCCTTATCCACACCTTCAGAACTTTACCTGGTAGGCATTTAAGGCTGGGTCAAGCCAGGAGCCATGGTCATTTTTGTTGTAAAAGTCCAGCTCACTCAGGACCTGAACCCATGACCTTCCGATCCCCAGGTGGGCATCTAGCTGCTATACTCCCGGTGCCTGCCATAATGTGTATAATAATTTAAGAAACGTATATAAGTAAGATATAAACAAGGTCCCCATGTGTGTATCATCTTTTAGAGTTACCTTACCTTGACGAGATAATTCTTTTTCTCATGTTTGTTTAATATCCTTGATATGATATCTGTGAGTAGAATTTGCAGATAATTTTATTTCCAGAAAATATAGCTGCGGGCCATGTTTTATGGTGTTGGGGGGAAGTGGTGTCTGTGTTGAATCATCAACCCCTTTTATGCTTTTATTAACATAAATAAGGTTCACACACCTGATTATCGTTAATTTAAACATCTCTTAACTGCTTTGCAGTTTTTATTTAATAAAGCTTTTGTCATCAGTACCCTCGGACACTCTGTGATGTCTTACCATGATTATTGTTATGAAAATGCGTTTGTTGTTGAGGTGCTCCAGTCTCTGCTTAGTTTATAGGTTAATCAGTCAACAAATAATCCTCATCAGACAAGTCTGTCAGCGCTCGGATCCCATCTTCAGCATCTCCCTCAGCGTGATGCCTTTGATAACACTAGTTCTGAGTTGGTTTGTGATTTGTCTTTGGTTACCAGTATAGTGTTCATATCTGGCAGTATTCTTTCGACATGAAGTCTCTGCTTTAAGTTGTGTCTGTTGTTGTTCTTGGTATTTCTGCTTCTGCATTCACCCAAAGATATAATTGCATAATGCTCGTTTACAGCATGGCTGCGAAATTAGCGCCTTTTGGCCAACT